TGGGTAAAGGAACTGATAGGGGGAAACGGTGACATAAGATTAGTGTTGGGGTCCTTGATTGCATAACAAACATAAACAAAATACGCCCGGAACTATACTTGATTAAAAACGATGCTAATCGGTTAAAGGTTTGTCGAACACAAGGTAAACGAGCACTGGATGTCCCCGACAATCAGAATACCTAGTCCATTGTCGTACTTGTTAACTAGACCAATCGTGACCTTGAAACTAGAAATCCGCCTCCTATTTAATTAGTGGTGTGTGTTTGCGAGAGGCATTTATGATAACGCGAAGATGGGGACTCCAGTCTTTGCCGTCAGAATTGACATCCTTACACCAGATTTTGTCCAACCGAATGAATCGAAAAAATCAGGCGATGTTAAAAGCACTCTCAAATTCCGGAAAAAAGTCAACTCGAACATCAGCCAAAAAATTAAAGAATTTGAAGGCGCGACCACAGGCCACGAAACAAAAAAGCTTTCAGTTGCTCCCGAGATAACGGAAGAATCCCAGCAGCGAATACGGGGAATTTTCGACCGAATAAAATCAGGTCCTAAAGGTTCCTCCGTTGAAGACAAAGAAGCCAAGCGTGCAGTTGAATTAAAACACCGGTCTGATGAACTTATAAGCACTGAACAGCGCTATTTTGAAACTCTAAGAATACTCAAGGTTTCTAAATTAGTTCTTCCATAACTTCTTTAGGATGTAAGTAACAAGTTAAATACGGTTCAGCTGGAAGATGCAGATATCTTACGAACAATCTTCAAGGATATACCATCTCTCTATATGTTACACTCCTACATGGATGTCGCCTTCAAAAATTCCCAAACGCCAGTGGATTATCTTCTGTGGCTTGACGTTTTTACAAGCAAGGGTGTCGCGGATTATTTTAACATTTACAAGAGCTTCCTTTCACAATGCTACACTACCCACAGACAGCTCGCCGACATATATGAAAAAAACAAGGAATTTCAGGAACTCTGCATACCTTTGGTTGTGAGTTTGGCCGTTTTTTTCCCTGTAGGGATATTTTTTTATCTGCCACTCTAGCATGGCCGAATCCTTCCACTGATTGTTCTTGAAATTCACAAATGTTGAATTTTCACACGTTTAAGTTTCATGAATGAATTTTTGTCATGCTCACGCGTCCGACTTTCCAAAATTAATGGTAGATTTGCATTTTAAGACATACTGCCAACCACTTACAGATGCGGCGACTGTCATGATCCTCCATTTTCGAATCTTACTCGGATGGGTGCAACTCCACTTAAATGTCTCATATCACTTTTTGAACGTGGGCGTATTCTAAATAGTAATTTAGATTTATATAAAGCAGTTACTAGGTGTTTAGTGATGCCTCTTAAAACGCTTCGTGCACCTTGTGTAGTTTATGAGCCATTGGACAATTTATTCAGACGCCAATTTTCATTTCTGTTGATATTTTTTCAAGTATACTCGGAGAAGCTATTCCAGTATGCCGTTGTATTGGTGAATGCAATTGGGTTTGGTCTCATAATTGCCGTCGGTAACATTTTAAGGCAGCGAATCAGCTATCAGGTGACTTTTAAGTTACAATTCGTAGTCTGTTTTACCCCACTACAGTTGGAATGGATGGAAGTTCTGCTAGACCTTCCTTACAATTACAAAGACCGCAAAATTCTCCAGCAAACCGCGTGACCGTTTTTTTTCAAATAACTTAAGTCCTGATTGTTTTCCTTTCATGGAAGAACCTTATTAGCCACATAATTGTTTGCGATCAACTTAAGCGAACACCACAAAGGATCAAAACAGAATAGTATATGAGTCCAACCAGTAGCATTGATTACGCCTTCATCTTCATTAAAAAGAGAAAACGCATTCGATATTTTTTTCTCTTAACCTTGTTATTCCGTAATCTATGTGCCGTTATTCAACACCAGTAATGTGATATCCTCGTCCATTGTAACCTTGCCATCTAAGTCGCTATCATATTTGTGGTCAACTACTATTCTTATACAACTCGAAACGTCTAAGGATTTCTTGGACTTGTCTTTGTCAAAAATGTCTTGGTAAATTGACTTATTCGAGCCATTAAATCGGTTTAATAAATTTAATTATTACTAACTCAGTCAACTTTTTCGTGCACTCCACCTTATACTTACCACACATATTCCAACTGAAAATAACAGTTTTGCTGATGAAATCTCTGTAAAAACTTAGAACACTCAGCTCTTGCATCTTATAACAGTGAATTATGGCGAACTTAAACTTAGAGTCAAAGCCTCGCATCACAGGTACTTGTAAAAAAGACGAAGGCGTTTCGAACACCGGAATCATAATTTTATTCTTCTGAGTTTTCGGGCTCCTGCTGGAGTCCATCGTTAGATTTAAACCGTCAACGAAAAGCTAGCAACAGTTATAGGGGCAGGAGCCAATCAACTGTTATGGAGGGAGGGTGGGTGAAGAGGAGGGGGGAGGAAACTGATTAATCACCATTGTCAGCCGTGCGCCTATGCATGTGGAGGGCGATGTATGCGGCTTCCAGCTCAGTGCACCGGTTGATTTAGTTGTCATCCGAGACCCAGGCTTCAAAGAAGGCCTTCGGATAGCCGTTCCGCAAAAACTGGTTGCGACGATATCGGGCCTCCCGTGTTTTTGCCTCCATGTTACTGCAATGAGTCTGTATTTGTTTGAACAGCATTCTCACGCAGCTTCGTTTGTGCGTCACCGGATGGTTGCTGAGGAGCTTGAGACGCCGTGTGGTGTTTGTTGACTTCCTATACACCGTCGTTTCGATCTCGCCGTTGAAAGTTCGCATGAAGAGTACATCAAGGAAGGGTAGCTTCTAATCCCTTTCTTCTTCCCTCGTGAATTGTGTACCTGGTAAGATCGAGTTGAGAAGATCATAAAATTCTGCAGCATGTTCCTTATTAAAATAATAAACGTGTCGTAATTGTAACGGCGTCAAAAGATCGGGGCTTTTCCAGTTCTTGTAGGAGCAATTCTGCTATTAAACCGGGGATTGGTGAGCCCATCGGAGCTCCCTTGATCTGTTCATAAGTCGCTCCTGCAAAGGTGACATTTGTCTTTTGGCAAAATTCGAACAGCCTCATGAGGTTTTTAACTTTGAGCGAACTCTGTGTTTCGTCGTGCAACCCCTCGAGATTCCTGCATAGGACGTCTTGTGCCAAACCCGTGGAATGGACGTGAATAATAATGTTACGTCAAAGGAGACCATCCTTTCGTCTGACTGTATCCTTTGACCATGGATGTCTGCCAGGAATTTGGAGCCTGAGCGGACTGACGCATCAGAGTTTTCTTGGGGGAATTTTATTTTCAAGTACATCCGTTTTGCCAAATTAAAATTCCCGCAACTACATTTGTGGATTTTTGCCCGTTATATGTCTCGTTTAATCAGTTATGTTAATCCTGATCTGTATGTATTTACTGCCATTTTTTTCCTTACATTTGCAATAATTTAACCCCGTTGCTAGTTTTACCACGGTAACTTTAAAATGTTCAGACAATGTCTGATTTTACCTTTGACCTTGTAAACTTTCTGATCCAATTCCAGAAAAGCAGTCGGTTTCCGGACCAGCACATTCAGGACGTACGAGGCATGTACATGGGAATTCAAAGTCGACTGCCCCGTTGTGACATGTTAATTGCAAGTAGGTTATAATCCCCTTTTTATCTTTATTTATGGTAATTAGATTGTATGAAGATCACTACAGACGAAGTAGCAAAGGAAAAATGCTCAGGTATGTTGCTATTTTTTATCTGGAGAAAGCAAATCCTTCTAGCTGCTTTGTCAATTATCAGAAACATTCTCAGGGCCACAGAAGTCGAAGTCTACAAGAATGTAAGCTTTCAATTTTAATCTTTTTTGTTTATTCTAAAATAATTACACATAAGACTTTTGGATAGCTTTTTTATGAGGACTGGGCGAGAGTACTGCATTAACTGTTGGTCTATAGGCCTCGTGTGTTTTTCTTTAAGTCTGCTACTTAATATAGAATGGCTTGAAAATATATTATCTGGATGAAACTAGAATGAAATTGTTTGGAAAATCTTCGACCTATCAAGATTTTATTGCCACACCAGGGGCCGAACAGCGGCTCCTCGAGAGTGTTAAAAACAGGATGTTGTCTCTGTCGTTAATGGATTTAGTTTTTTTGGAAGCAGATTTGACCTTTCATTTGTCAATTACAATCCATCAAGAGGAACGGATGGTCTTCTACCTTCCATGAATACTATTACTAATTATTTATAAGTCACATTTCTGGCATCTGCGCAACCCCCCTCCCCCTCTTCACCCTTATGGAGGTTTCTGTCTATCGTGTATGTGTATCAGGCTAAACTGTCCTTTTCTTTTTCGGAAGCCCTTGTCTTTTTACTAGCCACTTGTTTGATCGGCTTTGTTCTATCTTTTCTACAGTCAGGCTCATTCTCTCTCACACACATTTTAATTCTTCCTAGGAGAAAACTGTGAAAGCATTGGAAGTAAATGAGAAGTTGGAGGGACGTTGTAATCAAGTCGACCAATTGGCTTTGTTCATCCGTTCAGGTCCGGTTATGAAGGTGCCGCGCAGGGCCGCGGGGAGGAGGTACTTACGTCGGCATCTCTTCCTGGTAATCCAGCTTTATTGTGCTTTAAAACCATCAGCATCTTAATTGAAAGATTTTGACTCAATTTTGCAATACATGCATTCTATTAAGAAGCGGATCTCAGAAGGAATTAGGGGCGGGGGGAGGCGGAGACGTAGGCTAAAGGAAAAGAAGCGAATGGAAGTCAGTAACTACAGGAACTCCCAGGAACTCCGTAACCGATGCTTTCGGCAGCCCCGTCTCAGTAAACAATTAGCTACCTGCGTAGTCATCTGGTGATCATCTGGCTCCACTCGGGGAATCAGTTGAGCAGCAAGTGTCTCCAGTGCATATGATCCTTACCTATGTCATGGTGTAACCTAGAGACGCTACTTAGTAGGCGCTAGTATCCCTGCTAACTTAGTTTTCGCCCGCTGCTTAGATAGCTGCAGACGTATGTGATCAACTTCACTTCAACTGCACTTCACTCTAGAGGGTTCGCCTTGATTCCGCTTCTCATAAACGGCCCAGTTTTTCATTAAAATTTAAACAAGTCACCTTTTTGGCATACTGGTTTGGCCTGGATAATAGTTCATGGCGATTATTTAAGCAGAGCGTCTGCACTTTTTGGTTAGGCTACAAGATGCCTATAGACGATTGTACAGTCGACTTTGCCGTTGTTTCTTTCATCTGCTGACTAAAAGCCGCATGTGAATACTGCAATATCTTTAGACCGCAAGTCTCTTTCTGCGTAACCGTCTAAGTCACGAACTTACGACAGTTTGAGGTTGCAAGTATTTTTTGTACTGTAATTCGATTTCTTTCGAGTTTTCTTTTAGGAAGCTCTCTTGAGTACGGTTGTCAATAGCCTCTAAGCTTCCATAATTCTTATTTCAAACTTTATTAATTGCACTAAGTTAGTTTTCATTTACGTTTTGGAGGGCAGTCGCTCTCGTTGAGGCTCTGGTGATGCTGATGTGATATCCTCTTGCCTCACATTTACGACATTTGGATTTTTACTTGAATTTCTAGCATAGTGTGTGTATAGGCCGAATAACATTACCGACGAAGACAACGGGAACTGAAATAGCTATGTCTGACTTATCAGCCGTCATCAACCGGCCATATTCAACCCCAGTTGTTTCCTAGTTGGTCCAGACCCAGCCCTATTGATTAGAAGCCTGACGCTATAAATCTTGAGGCAAAGACCTGTTGCTCTACTTATTCCGATCAGGAAAATTAATTTTGGTGGATGGACGCGCACTCATCGGTTATTGCTATGAGCGTGGCGGATTAATAACTAACCGGTCTGTTTCTGCTGCTGCTACTACTGCTGTTGCGGCTCGAAAATGAGCTCCAAAGTAGACGTGACCAGTGAATCCCGTGACCGATCGGTTAGCGCATTCATCTGCCAATAGTCTGTTTAAAGTAAATTGGCAATTCCCTCAAGTGCAGGCGTACTGAACGCACTTCAGTTGTTGAAATTGAGGGTGTAACCCTGGTTAATGTGTTTCTTGAACTTGCACCATCTA